TTGAAGGTATTTTGTCATAGATGTAATAGCTACAATCATTTGGCTTTAAGTAAAGGAGGTTACATTATATAATGTAAGTCAATTAGACACTATAAGAACAAACAAAACTGAGGTTTCATGGGGAAGGGTTCTGCCTCAAAACCTCAGTACCAATTCCAGCTTGAGTATCCAGCCTTCTAGTCCACCCTATAAATGTCAGAATTGCCAGTCCCCACAGTCCTGTGAGCCTGTGGGCTACCCCACACCTGCAGGTTAAAAACATTCCCAGGAGACCTGTGTGTGCAATAACATTTGAGAAGCAAAGCCCTAAGACATAGTGAGTTCTGCTCACCAGTCGCTGTGGGTCATTCTTTGAGATGTTAGTCTTAACTGCATCAATTTCAGTGGTCCTGCGAGACAAACACAGGTGTTTGTGGAATAAATAAATGCTTAAGTTTCCTCCCCAAAACATGCCAGAAAAGAATAGTGGAGAGAATAAGCAAGAAAGCATTTCTGATCATTTGTGAAATCTTGAAATTTTACCTAATGGTTCAACTATAGTAGACACTAGATATGTACTAAGAAGTCATATTCAAAGCTCCTAATGTGTATCTGGAATAGCTTAAACCTTATTAAGCTGCTCACTTGCAACTGTCAAAGACAATAGTACTGTTGCACAAATAGATACAACGAAGTACTTAGTTGATATCCTTAAAACCTGGACCCTCTTGCTGTAGGCAATGAGTTTGGGGAAAGTATAAGATAAAATGAGGAAGGCAGTGTGACCCAGGGTGAAGGTTCCGATATTACTCATGGCTTGTTAAGAGAGAAGTGGGCCATGTGATACTGTCACACGCTGAGAGAGGCTGCCTGCGTTCACTTCTCAGTGAGTGACTTTCTAGGTGAGAGGTAAACCTATTGGAACCTCTCTTTGGAGAACTTTATCAAGAATGAAGATCTGTAGTGATCTTCTACTACTTTGAGCTTCGGACCTGACTCAAGTGGTAGAGCACTTGCCTAGTGAGTACAAATCCCAATACTGCCAAAAAATGACTCACATAGACTGCCTTAATATTAGAACATTTAACTAAAGATACTTAAAACAATTTAACAGTCCACATTGGAAGTGATTTTGAACTTGGGCGAGGGTTTGCTGAAGAGTTAATAGGTGGGTTCTGTTGTAATTTTAGTAATATTCTTGTTTCTAGCTAGTGACATGCATGCATTCCCTTGCCTTTCCATTCCTTTGGCTTGTCAAATATTATGTGCTAAACATAAGGAGATGGTGTTTGATGTACAAAATCATGATGGGTGCCATGTCTTCCGTGGATTGCAATAGGCAGAAAAAATGTTGCACACAGCCAAGGACTGTCCCCTCCATCATACCCTGGTTAGCAATACATTACTTAGCATGTCATCCAGGACTCTTGAGGACTCTGAGGTAGGCCTGGGACTCTTCACCTGGGCCCACAGACCTTCAAGGAAACTGGGAGCCCACTGAATGAATGAGCAAATGTTTGTTGTATTTCTTTCCTCCCCACCTTAGAATGAGTTCATAAAGTTTTTCTCAAAACTAGATGAGCCTAAGTTTAAGAGTAGCTTTGTCTTGGGAACTTAACTATCCCAGCCTAAACATTTGCTCAAGGGGCCTCATGGCCTCCATCACAAAGAGAGAACAGAGTACTGGCTAAAAGGAAATGTGGAGGTTTATCTGCCTTAGGGGCTGGCTAAGATTATTAAACTGGGCAGCTTCTTGGGCCAACTAATAGGGAATCATTGGTTGGTCTTGCATTGGAAGAGAGGGAGGGAGGGAGGGAGGAAGGAAGGAAGAAGTGGGTGGAGGGAGGGAGGAAGGAAGAAAGTATGTATGTTGGTCAAACCTTAACAGTGGTATCTTTTGCTGTAACAAGGAAAAACAAAAATGTGAGGAATCTCTGACTGGATGCTTATGAGGTGATATGTTATAACTTAGGCACATTTTGTAGTGCACAGTAGGTCCTCAGTAGGTGTAAACTCTCATTATATACTGCCTTCTTCCCCAATATGCCTGCATTCATGTATGGCTGGCTGTTTGCCTTCTCCCAAAAACTGAATTGAGAAACTTTCTCTTGGGCCTCCCAGTGAGGCAGCAAGCACTGTTCACCTGTGCGTGTTCAGGGCCCCATCGACACAGACTGCAGTGCAAGTGGTGCCCAAGCTGTGCAAAATGATGTCTCAAATCTCTTCCTCCTTCCCTCTCCCTTTCCCTTCCTATTTCCCTCCCTCCTTCCTCCCTGCCTCCCTTCTTTAGTCTCTGCTTTTCTGCCTCTATGCCTTCCTTTCTTTTTCTCTTTCTTGGCTGTCCTCTTTTGTCTCCTCCCTGTTGATTGTTTTCCTGGCACCTAAAACACTTATCCTTGTCAGCACATCTGTGTAGCTGCTGCTGCTTCCAACATCAGTCTCATCTGCTTTTATTTCTACCTGGTCACTCCCGCCTCCTGCCACTTCTCTCATGCTTCTAGACTTTGGCTAGAAAAGGATTGGCCAGCCCCAAAAGGCTCTTCTCTATCAGGGGTGTAGAGCAGTAATGACATCTCTTGAGTGCATGTCTTTCACAAGGGATCTTCTTCCAGCGACATTGAGAAGCTGTTTCATCACATAAGCTGCGTTTTGGGGGCACTGATATTTTGCTTTGTACGTGTGAGTTTTTTCCAACTAATTCTAGCTCAGGATTCTCAACCTTGGCTGCACATTAGAATCATCTGGCAGTTTCCAAAAATCCTGATGCCTGGGCCACCTTCCAGAATAATTGAACCAGACAGCTCACAGTAATACCCAGTCTTCTTTGTTTATCAAGCTTCATGGGTATGGGTTCCAACCCACCTCCAGAGTTGATAACCAGTAATTAGGACACAATCCTAAAAGGCTGAAAGGCTGAATTCCATACCAAGGAGGCTTGATTTTGTATTTTAAAAACCAATAAAGCGTCCTAATCAGCAAATAGGTGCTTGTTCTGAACATACTCCATAAAATATCTAGTAGAGAAAATACTTTGTTTTGTCTTGACAGTGTCTTACAGCCATTGTAGAAAAAATACATACTCATTGTTGTGGGTCCCAAATTTAACACAAGTTTCAGAGAACATTTCTGCCTGTATTTTTAGCTAAGCATAGAGCTCTTGGTCTGGGAGACAGTGAGAATTTCAAAATAGTTTGTTACCTAAAAATATACTTCCTGAAATGAACTTGAGGCCCGAAAGGGATGAATGGTTTTTTTTTTTTCTGTATTTACTGTTACCACAAGAAAGCAAGTCTTAAATTATATATGTTTATATTTTTAGAGACCCAGGAAACAGGTGTTATACGCAAGCAACAAAGAAGGTTATGTAGGGCACAGTACTGATGGCAGAGATCTAAAATTCACAGGATGGAGAGGGGCTGTGGAAGGGCACTGAGGCCACTGTTCTCTTGGCAGGCATGCACTTACACAGAAGGGCACACAAGGCCCTGTTCAGACCTCTCCATGGGGATGTTAAGTGCCTCTGACTTCCTAAGAACCAGCAACTCGTCCAGTTCTACATGGGATCCAAATTTCTTAGCCTGTCAGGGAATCTGTATTGATTCATGTTTGTTGGTTGAATGCCTCCTAGTTTTATCTTACTTCCCCAAGCTAGGACTTTGATTACTACCATCATCAATGGAAGGAGATCCCACTGAGGAAAAGATGGGGCATGGGGTGTTGTACCTTGCTTATTGCCCCTGGTGTGCATGTGCTTGCCAAAAATAATCTGCCTTCAATATTTTGTGAATGAATTATGACATTTGTGATCACACTCTCCCCAGTCTGAGTGAAGAGGTTCTGCATTTACTTGGCATAAGTGGCTGACGGTGAGTGCCTTACAATTACACCTGTGTGTATTCTTCCACCCACTCACTTATTCAGTAAATAGTTTTGAATGTATTCTATGTCACAGGTGCTCTTCTTGGCACAGAAGGTACAGTGTGTGAACAAGGTAGAACGAGTCTCATGGAGCTTACATTTTGTGGATAGATTGTAAGCCTGTGTGTGACCCACGTAATTTGCAGATGATAAAACAAAATCCTGTAGTAGTTACTAGCTGGTAGTTTTTGGATGAAGATGACATTTAGCTAGAAAGACTACAAGAGCCAAACAAAAGTAGTAGAAAATGAAAGTCCTAAGGAGGAATAAACTTGACTTTTTCCCAGAAAGGCCCACATGTCCTCCAAGGTGTCAAGTAAGGGGTCAGGAGTTGGAGTGACAGTAGAACTAAGGGATGAGGTCCAAGAAGTGACAGACAGCAGGATTTTGAGGTGGTGCCTTCAGACTTTGCCTTGACTATTCCTGGGCTTGTATCTAAGAGGTATTGGGGCAGTGTTGGTCAGTGGCCTGCAGACAATGCAGAGGGCAGAATTCAATAGACCTGTGCTTTGCAGAGTTCCTTAGAGTTCTTCAAGGTCCAGGCCAGGAAAATGATGACTCGGTCTTATGCATGATCTAAGAGCTCCCCTGGGAGTTGGCCTGCTCCCTTTTGAATTTCACCATTTTGCTTGATTATGACCTCTCTGTCTATTTGGGTGACAACTCTTCTCTGGTTCCCACATCCTCTGTGCTTCCCTCTATTTTGGCTTACCCTGCCCTGGTCTGTTTCCTTGTTTGTTCACAAGTGAAACTGTAATTTTTTTAAGGGCACTTTTTTGTGTGTGTGCTCTGAGTACCTACTACTATGCAGTGGGCCAATCTGTTTCTTTCTTGATTAATAAGCTTTTTGTAGAAAAATGCTTTATGACAATGATTGACAAGAGCAAGAAGCTACTGCCCTTCCACCATAACCACCATACAGTGGCTTTCATTATATACAGCGTACATGGGAGAAGTCTAATCTGATGTGAATGTGTTATTTTCCTTTTTTCCATATTCCTTCCCATGACCTCAAATTCATTTGAAACTGCATAATGTCTTCAGGAATCCATCTTCAGGCTGCATAGCTGTTGAATAATTGTTTGCTGTGCCTTTCCCCTCAGTTAATAATGACATGCTGGCCAGTGACAACAGTGGTGCGGTCAAGATTCCACAACTGTGTAAATTTTGTGACGTGAGATCTTCCACCTGTGACAACCAGAAGTCCTGCATGAGCAACTGCAGCATCACGTCCATCTGCGAGAAGCCACACGAAGTCTGTGTGGCCGTGTGGTAAGAGGGCCTTTTAAGAAGGCATTTTCTTTAAACCATGCATCCTCCTGGTACATAGTCAGTGTGTCTCTGTCCCTAAGTATAATAGACACTAACCTCTTTCATTCAAACCATCTCTCAGTTATTAAATGTGGTTTCCAGGGATATGCAAATGTGCACAATCATATACTACATATGTATATGGATATGTATATACATATATATGATCATAATATATATATATGATGACCTTTAATATTCATAGTAATCTAGAAACCTTCCCTTGTCTCAAGAAGAGTGACTTGTCACTTACTACTTATTTAACTGGCCCCTCCTCAGTCCCCTATAGTGACACCAGGAGCTTTGTTCTTCTGAGGCTGTCTCCCTTCTGCATTGTAGAAGGAGAGTGGGGAAAAGGTTGGCTGTTGAGATAGGAAAACACTTGCCAAAAGATGGGGAAGTTACTAAGGGGGCCAGAAAGACAACCAATTGGTTAGTTGGAAGCCCCATTCTACTTCTAGACTACACCTGACATTTCTCTCTCTCTTAGATTAGGACCACATATTTTTCTTTGACCAGATTCTCTGCTCTTCACTTCCTGTGTCTCTCATTCCCTCCAGTTCACCTCCCTCCTACATACAAACATCTCAAATAGTTCTTATACCTACACTCTGAATACTCTTGAATCATTTGACTAATTCATAGGTGTAGATCAAGAGCATGAGCAAGAGAAACATTGATCATTAAGAGTCCCAGTTGTATAAAATGTGTGTAAATCCATTCATGGAATTAAATATTTTGCAGACTTATCCTGATGTTTTGAATTTATCAGCAATTACTTGAAGTAGATAGGTGTTTCCAGCTGGTTGGCAAATAATATAAATCTAAAAACTTCTCCCTCCTTTTTTGGAAATGAGTCTGTTGAGACTTTCTCCAGACCACAGATTTGCCTTGATGATAGATTTGGAAACCTTGCAAATTTCCATACATACCAGGGGATGAACTGGTTTCTTAAGATCTAAAGGAATGTTAACAGCAAAGACCTGCAGGACAGCTTGCTGTACCTGCTTCCTTCATGCACATCTAGCCCTGGGGAATGCTTTGGAAGAGGGGATTTTGGCAAGAGGATGTCGTGTACAAGGTCCAATGTGATTAGAGGTTTAGAAAACATGCCATCTGAGGAATGGCTGAAGCAGCTAGCCATGGTTAGTTCAGTAACAAGAATGCATGGGTTCTGTCAGGAGAAACTAAAAGGCTGCTTGATGGGAAATACAAATTTGTATGTATCTACCAAAGGGTAGATAGAGAATCTGTAGCATTTACTAAGCATCAGACTTGTGCTCAGCACAAGTTTAAACATTTTCATAGTTTCCCAGTTCTAGAAAGAACTTCCTTCTCTGGAAGAGTCAAGTGAAATTCCAGAGAGGCTGGATGATCTGCAGAGGAAAGACTGAGACACCAGACTCCTGGCCTCCATACTTCCTTCTAGGGCTCACTCCTGCTAAAAAGCAGGCTCCTTTAATTAAATGTTTCCCTGACCTGTTGTACAAGTCCAAGTGACTGGATGTGAATCAAGATTGTTCAGACTAGAACTGTGAGCATGTTAAACAGGGGAGGGGACCTCCCTTTCAATTTGGGGTCATAACTGTAAACAGTAAATCCAGTGAGCTTTATTCTTACCTGTCTTGCAAAAGGCAAACCCTGTTCTTGGTGGGGATGTGGATAACGGAATGGGAAGGAAAGTACAGAGAATGCTGCTCCCCACCCTTTCAGAAGCAAGGCACTGGCTCCTGCTCCCTGGGAGTGCTGAATGCCCAGGCATTACTCCTGAGCTCCTCCAGGGGCTCCTCTCCTTGACAGGAGCTGCTTCATTCCTGGTAGACCCTCATGGCAGCCAGCATCCTGTAGCCAGATGATGGAGAGGTACAAGTTCTGGCTACTCAATTTGGGACAACTTTTAAGGGTCATTCAGCTTGAGCCCTTCCTCTGCAGCAACCTGCATAGCAGCCTGACCTCTCTCACTGCACAGCAGTGCTTCCTCAGTCCTGCAGTGTCTCCTAACACCTCCTTGCATGGCATTCCAGAGCTCAGTGTCTGCTTCTGGGAAACCCAAACTGGACAGGACACTATTTCAAAAAGAGCGAAGTGGGGCAAATGGAAGGTTCTGTCATGGAATGACTTCCAATACTTTTATCAGCTTTTGTGTTATTTTCATTGATTGATTGATTCACTCATTCATTTAACTAATGTCAGCTGTGTATCCAGTCCATGCAAAATGCTTCCACTTTTCCTAAGGATAGAAATACTTTACAAACAAAATTAATTTCATTATAGTGATTCTTCTTTCATGGATATTGGTAACTGTCAGTGGTTCAGCAAACCCTACATGTTTTCCCTTCTTGCCCTCAACTATACCTGAGATGTTTTGCAAACTTAGTTCTGCCTAGCAGAAATTCTGTTGTAGCAGTAAGTGGAGAAATGAGTTCAGAATTTTACCAGAGGTGAGTATTATGGTAGCTTTCTCTGCACCCTTAGTTCTCTGAGCAGCTACAAAGTAGGAAGCCAGAGGCTGTGAAAGGGCTGCCTGGTAATTACAGGCTCGCACTTCCTTCCTTGGCTTTTAGAAGTTTCTCAAGGAGTCACCAGGCTTTTCTCGATGAGTGTAGAAGATTCAGCATGCTGCTGTTTTATTACCAAAAGAAAAACAATCTATGCACATACTTACATTCATAAAATTGTGTGTTCCATGTGTGCACAGTTTTGCAGTGCAGTGCAGAGACCTTGAAGGCTAAGGATGAGTAGACTTTGGGTTTCTGTAGGGTTTTTTGTCTTTTTCTTTTTGGTGCTGGGAGTTGAACCCAGGGTCTTGCCCATGTCTGGCAAGTGCTGTACCACTGAGCTACACCCCCAGCCCTCAGCATAGTTTTTAACTATGCATCATCTTCACTGTGTTCATGTCAACTCTTACTTAATTTTCTTTAGTTCCCTAGTAACTCCTCCTACAGGAAGGGTCTACCTACTTGCTAACTACTTAGTTACTTCTTACAAGGTTCTTCTTATACTCATAGGGGTCTACCTGGCAAGAGATGGCTTCCCGTGTGCCTGCCATAGTTTTAGCTGAGAGTCTTTGAGTTCTTTTACACAGGGAACATTTAACTCTACTGGATCTACCACTGGACTGCATGGATGACACAAACACCAAATCCCTTCCTCTTGGGCTGTTCCATGCTCTTTTATACTCCTACTCTTCATATCTCCTTGTTTGACTTTCTATCTCTTACTGTCTTTGAATTAAGCACTAAGAAGGTGGTACCAGTCAAAATTGGTTGTTCTCCTGGGAAAGGCCCTGCCTCTTCTCTAGGTGAACTCAGTACCTTAGCTGCTTCTTAATTCTAGCCTACCTTCATTTTCCTTACTGTGAGTCATGAGTTTTTGGGGTGGAGTGGGGGTGAGCATGCACTTGTGTGTACACGAGCACACATGCATGTACTCATATACACATACCCAGAATCCTCATGGAAGATTATACTAGCAGAGCTGACTGAGTCTGTTGCTTCATTGAAGGCCTAATTATTACACACTCAGGATCCCCTTGAGTACAGTCCCCTGTACTGACATTTAACCAGACAGATATTTTGCACCTGAAAGGGACTAAGATGGAAAGACAGGTATCAGACCAACCTTGGTGTTGGACTGAGTCATCCAGGATACCTCCAGGATGCCCAGATGCCTGATCATCAGGGAAGTGGTAGAGATATGGTACCCAGTTGTAATTTGACTTTTGCAATTATAATAGTGGGTATTAATCTTGTCTTTTTAAAATATGCAATGTACATGTAGATTCAACTGAGCCTTTGCTAAGGACCAAGGAACATATCACGTGAGAGATCTCTGAACCCTTAGCTAAATTAGTCTCCAAATATATGATGCAAAAGGATACTAAATCTATAAGTAACTAGTTTATGCCAGCATAAAATATTTCACTGAGCCATAATTAAAGAACACTACAGTTTTTACCATATGTTTTGATTTGGGGGGACATGTTTCTTCTGTTCCTTTCTGTAATTCTGGGAACTACAATTCTTCATCTAGGATGTTTCTTTCCATTTTGTCATTGGAATCAGCTGCTAACATGGAATATGCCCCTTGCACAGAGTGTCCTGTGACCCAGAAAAAGGGAATCTGCCACTGCCTCCCCAGGCATCCTCTTTGGGGATTGCTTAGTCAACAAGACCCTGGTTCTGCCAAAGTGTGAGGGACACCTTGAAAGCCTTGCAGTGGAAAATTTAAAATTATCCTGAGCATCTAGGAAACCTATGTGTGTCCATGCCCTTCCCTTAAGGATTCAGTGAAGGCCTAATGTGTAAAATTCTCCAGCAAGAAAACCCCCATGGAAAGCAGTCACGTTTATAAATCATAAGTGGGTTTTGAGACTAAACAAAGGACCAACAGAAATGAGCAGGGTAAGTCTAGGAGAGTATGGGACAGCCCAATAATCGTGGAGAACAGTTATTATTAGTAGGAACAATTTCAAATGGCAAATACAAATCACACTGCCCTTCTGTCCAGAGACCATATTCATTCCTTCTGTCTCTCTCTCTTTTCTCTCCCCACCCCAATGAACAACTGTACCCCAGGAGGAAGAATGATGAGAACATAACACTAGAGACGGTTTGTCACGACCCCAAGCTCCCTTACCATGGATTTATTCTGGAAGATGTTACTTCTCCAAAGTGTATTATGAAGGAAAAAAAAGTGCCTGGTGAGACCTTATTTATATGTGCCTGTAGTGCTGAAGAGTGCAATGACCACATCATCTTCTCAGAAGGTGAGTTTTCTTCTGAGAGTCTGGGGCAGATATCCTGTCAGTTCCCTACATCCCTGGTTGCAATCCCACAGAGAATGTCCTCCTGGGGCCAGTGATGGAGAGGAAGTATGTGCTCTATAGGTGACAAACTCATTGCCTTAGGAAGGTACTTAGGAAGTAGCAAAACTGGTACCTGCCCTAAGCAAATCGGTTCCCCAGAGCCCACATTAGAATCTGTCCTTGACAAATAATCTCTTTCATCCAGGGCAGTGGTTTTCAAAGTGCAGAGCCCAAAGCAGCAGTAACAGCAGCCCTGGGAATCTGACAGAAGTGCAGATTATCTGGAGCCATCCCACAGCACTGAATCAGGGGCTTTGGGGCTGGGGCCCAGCAGTCTGTGTTTTAGTTTGAGTATCACACTGGTCTAGAGATTTAATGGGACCATTTGGTCCTGCAGGGGGACTGTCTTTAAATTAAACTGAAGTGATTTAATGTGCATATTCCTGGGGTTTGTCTAAAAGGTCTCATTTGAGAGAAGAACTGAAATGCAGAGAGAATACAATGACCCAATGTTACTCAAGAAGCCAGGGGAGACAGATACTAGCTTCCATCTTTGAAGTTCAGCACTTAATGAACTTGC